CAGTTTTGTGCTGGGCGCCGTTGGCTTGTGTCTACATTTGCATCCGTTTCGCGGGTGCCTTTCGAAAGTCAACCACAGATACTACCCATAGATAGCAGAGTCTGGCAGCGTTTAACGGTTCTCGATGCTCGATGCTCGGTGCTCGGTACTCGGTGCTGGCCTAATGTGCGCACTGATGCGCATTTCTGAGCTCCCCCAGCCCTGGATCACAGCAGCTGGGGCGTGTAACTGGGCCATTTGTGTAACTGGCACATAATCAACAGTTGGTTAGTCAGGCCCCATGTCTGGGCCATCCGGCTAGGGCTGCAGCCAGTCGGTGTATTCATATTTTTAAGCACGCTCGTTATCATAATGTGCTCCATTCGGAGGCTGTTCCACATTTTTGGATGTACCGGCAGCAGGCAGCCGGCAATAGCAGCCAGCTACCCTGTAATCAGCGAGAGGTGTAAGTGACCTGAATATGGACTGTTATTGGTCTGCAAAATGGAAAAGCGATTCCAGCAATTGCCTTGGTTTTTCATCTTTGATTAAAAAAGCATTATGTTTCCTGCCTGCATGCCGTGAAATTGAGCTAAGCTTGTGCTGTTCTGAGGCTCATCAGTTCAAATCACATGGAATTCGATTGTGTCCAAGTGGATCTATTGATTGTGGTTGCATTCTGTTTCCCTATCTCCCTCTCTTTCTCTTTCTCTTTCTGGGAGAACAGGCAAACCACGACAAGTCTCTGGTCTGAATATATTATTATTCAGTTAATTTGTGGAGAGCTAGAGAAGAGGAAGAAAGAGAGAAGAGTGAGTGAGGTAGAGAGAGGGAAAGAGAGAGAGAGAGATATTAGCGCACTCTCCACTCACACAAATTAATCATTCACTCACATACAAATGCCAACTTCTGGCTTCAGGCGATTGCGTCTGTCTTCAAAGTCTTATACTCTGTATATTCTGTTAATTTGTGACACAATGTACAGCAGAATGAGTGTGTGTGTGTGAGAGAAGGAGAGCGTGATGTAAGCGCACTCTTAAAATTAGAAATTCATCATGCCGCAGTTTTTCATCCTGAATATTCATTCAAATGCAACAAGAAATTCAATAAAAATTAGGAATTAAAAAAAAAAAAAAAAAAAAAATTCTATAAAAATGAAATATTAATTTAATTTCCTATAACAAAATATTTATGGCTTTAGAGCCAGCCTTTTTTTTGTAGACTTAAGCCAGATTCTAGTATTGCTTATAGAAAATGTAGTTGACAGTGCTTAATTTTTAAGCTAATTCCAATTTAACATTAAATGCAAAATATTATTAATTAATCTTATAAATAAATATAAAAAATAAATTAATATGATCTACTATCAAATATACTTGTTTTTTGTCTTTTGAATCACATCTAATCTATGCTTAATTTAAGAAAACTCGTAATATTCTAAACAATAACTCATGCAACATATATTGCTCTGACATCTTGACTTAATTTCCTTGAATGTATTTCCTATTACAACGGACCGAACTCTTCCACTTAATTATGACATTCACAAAAGCAGCCTAGTCTAGTCTCTACTCACGCATGAACAGTTTTGGCTTAGTTTCGCAAAAGAGTTCAAGCCAAATGCCATTGACCAAGTCAAAAGCAACCGAATAATTGGCCAACACATAAGAGTACAAATATACGTATACAAACTATTTTTCAGCCTCAAATTATGCCTTCTTCAATTAACGGCCAAAGGCCAAACAGCGACTAATATACGCTCATATCGCTAGATTCTAACCAAGCGGGTGGGCTGTGGAGGACTGTGCGGGGCTTGGGGAGCTGTGGAATTGGCTCATTGGAATGAAGGCAATTACCAATTATCTACTGTTTTCTACACAAATTTAACATAATTTGGCCAGTTTTGCGTTCAAATTGTGCCACAATTGTGGAAGTTGGCTGTGGTCAGGGCCAACCACGCGCCACCACAGCAGCCAAGTGAGGGGCGTCCGGTAGAGCCGGGCGGTGCCGGCCAATTGTGGCCACAGTCGAAGATTATTATTTTGGCTACCAACTGCCAAATGTATTTCGCATAATCGAAAGTGACCGAACCGCAGATATTCGTCTGATCCCATTGTGTGCGGCCCCAGCAGCGGCGGTAACGGTCTCTGGTCTCCACGATGGTGGGGCGTTGGGGTGGCTCAGTTGCTGTGCTGGTGTGCTGGTGCGCCGCTCATGCGCACAGGTTGAAACTATAGCAAAAAAAATATATAAGCAAAATCACAAAAATCAAACAAAAAACCAAAAAAATGATTGATGCCAATACAGCGCCAGGCGAATACAACTTAAAATTCAGTTAAAAAACAAAGCAGCTACCAATATAGCAAAAAACAACAAGAGCAACAACATTCAACATTAAAACGATATAGAAACAAAAGACAAAATACATGAAATACGTGAGGTCTTGTTGACGTTTGCCCAGCTAAAAGATACCCTGGGATCAGACCCAATTAATCGTAAATAAAAACAAGTAAGAAGGCTCCAGTCGAGACTGCTCGACTAGGAGATACCCTGAACCCTCCAAGCTGATATTCTAATCATTCTGCACTTATTCTATATACACATACATACACATGCACTTATAAGCACGCGCTCTGCTAACTGCGCAGTAAGCAGCGGCTGCGCTTGGGCTGCGCTGCAATGTGGGCAATATTATGGTAATTTATTTGTTGAATAATTTCTTTTGTAGACATACAATCTTAATGAAACTTTCAGAGCGTAATCATATGGTTAAAATATGTGTACATTCCAAAGCACAAGTCTCTAGTATTTGAAATGCGTTTTTTACAAATTGGGGGTGAAGGGGGCGTGGTATCCAAAATCTGTAAATTACAAAATCTTTGTGTCCATTAACTCTATATACAACGCAAATATGAAGTCTCTAGGTTTAAAAGTGTTCAAACTAGGCTGAAAAAACCAAGTCGATTTTTCGATTATTCTCGATAAAAAAGTTATCGGATGAGTTATCGAAAAAATAAAGCAAACTCGTACTGCCTATGGTATACACGAGTATGCATGCCAAATTTCAGCTCTCTAGCTCTTATATCTTCTGAGATCCTTTTGCTCATGCGGACGGACGGAGGGACGGACGGACGGACGGACGGACGGACGGACAGACGGACAGGGCTATATCGACTCAGCTCGTCGTCCTGATCAAGAATATATATACTTTGTGGGGTCTGCGATGATTCCTTCTGCCTGTTACATACTTTTCACAAAACCATTATACCCTGATTTCCCATTTTCAATGGGTTCAGGGTATAATAATAGTTTCTAGCTCTGCAGGTCTAGAAATTCCCTACAATAGCTTTTCCATCAAGTATATCCATATACCACAGCTCTACACATTGAAGGGAAAGTAGGGAAGAAATATTTTCGATTTGGATTTAGTATAAAAAACCTGTATACCAATCGGTTCCATATAGGTCCTATTGTAAAATTGAGATAACAAAATATGTAATATTCCATATTAATTCGATATTTTCGATCTGAATCTAGGAATGAAATTAAATCGATCAGTTATCGATATTAATCTAGTTACTTACATTGAGTAGTACTTACACTGGGTGGTACTCAGTGAAAACCAAAAATTATATTATTTAGTTGTATACTCAACCAAGATGGTTGCAACAAATATGCAAGTTATCGATAAGTACATAAACCAAAAATTTGATATTTTCAAAAACGACTTCAGATATTTATATAAATTGATTCAGAAATATGATGTCGCATTTCATAATATCAGGCAATACAAGTAAATAGCCCTAATATTCATCAATCTTATATTTCGATAGCTTATCGCTCAACACTTATTCTCAAAAATCAAAAATTTTTGTCTGATTTAGGTAAACCAACATATTCATTCATTTCTTACAGCATCAGCTCAACTCCAATCCACCCATTCTCAACCATTTCGAATAGGTATAGGGTATCCAAAAACAATGCAGAAAGAAACAAATGAAAAGTATTGGTAGCTCATAGTTTTAACCGCATTTCGCCGAAGGCGTAACACACTCTAAACCGGAAGGGTAATTAACTCGCTTTGCCGATCACGCCTTTGCATTCAGAGCAGATGGATGGATCGCTGGATGGATAGATAGCCAGATAGATACGAAGATAGATAGATGACTGAATGAATGAATGGTTGGGTTTGGTTTTTAGCTCCAGCTCCAGGTCTGACTCTGACTCTGGCTCTGGTTTCGGTTTTGCTTTGCTAGAGCTTAGTATATTAAAAAGCTACAAGTTTCAAAGCTATTTCTTTTTTCTTGAACTTCTCTCTTTTTCTGGTTTTGTTTTTGGCGCTGCGCGAATGATTAATAATAAGGCAACTTCATAGGCAAATGCGTTCAAATGATGTTTGGGGCGCTGCCAGGATTGATGGGTGTATAAAGTCTTCTTTTATGCGCTCATTTACAGTAGATGTGCTTTTTAATGGCTTTATTATGATTGCCAAGTGCCTGGTCCATGTGGTTTTCAATATCCATCTCTCTCTGTCTCTGTCTGGGTAGATATAAAGGTGAATTATGAAACTACTTCAATTAAGTTATTTGTTACAAATAAACCAAAAATTGAGAAATCTTTTGAATCAAGTTTAACCAGCTGAAAGTAGAAAATAATTTGATGTAATCTATTCCCAGATTTATAACTATTTGAGATGAGATTCTGCATTCTTCAAATTAGAAACTGAAAATGAATTTCATAACTCAGTAATCTCTTATGCTACAGAAATCAGATATATATATAGATATGTATATATAAATTTTTTTTGATGTGATTGTTTTATTTATTGATTTTTCAATATATCCATAACGATCTTTCAAATTCTTTCATATACATATATACTTTATACATATATATATTTATATAGTAAACGTTAAGTAAATGTTATAAAATTTGTTTTGAGAATTGCAATAATTAGCACTAAACATATTTAAACTTAGTCGTAATGCAGTTTGCATGTACATAGCCTATATATTTATATATCGGTATATACTTTATATATACTTTTTGATGTGCTCTATATAGCACATTCAATCAAAATATCCTTTGCTGTGCGACATTCCTCACTTAAATATATTTACAGCACATAACTAAAACTTAAATTTAACAATATGGTATATATGATTTATATATATATTTATATATGTGTATATATATATATGGAGTTAGTTTACATTTAAGTATGTTTCTTTCATCTATATAAAGTTTAAATTTTAAAAAGTTTACAATTTTGTATTTTGTTTATAAGAGCTATTGAAACATTTGTTTAAGATATAGTTTAGTGTATTAGAATTTCAAACCAGATTTTCTTCTTAACTTTTTTTTTTTTTTTTTTTGCTTACTTCACCGTCTTTTTCCATTGATTGCATAGCTACAATTAGTTTTTATTTTTTTAATTAAATTTTTTTATATAGTTTGTAAGTCATTTGATGTGTTTGGTTAAATGTCTAGAAGGAAAAATGTGAACTACTTAAAGATTAGTTTTCCCTCTCGGAGGCACGCTTAAGTAAAGTTTTCTTTAAAGTAATTGAAGAGTTTTACAGTTTTGTTCAGAGTTTCCACAGTTTTTCATTAGGCTCTTAAGTGCTCACGACGATCGTTTCGCCCAGGCCTGCCTGATTGCTGCTGTTGTTGTTGTTGTTGTTGCTGCTGTTGCTGCTGCTATTGTTGTTGTTGTTATTGTTGTTGTTGGTGTTGTTGTTGTTGCCATTGGCCAGCAGGTCCTTGTCAAAGCTAACGGAGTGACGCGTCGACACGGACAACTGATCATCGCTGCCCGCATACTCCTCGGTGTCCCCGTCCGCCCCGCCCAGACTCGTGGGCGTATAGACGCGCTTCATGAAGGAGCGTATATCATCGAAGCAGGCCTCCTCCCGGTCGCCAGCCTCATTCGAGCTGGGCGAGTCGTTGTACTCGAAGCCGGCCGCATCCGCCTCATGCTTCTTCAGATGCCGATCGAGATTCGTTTGCTGGCCAAAGCAGCGATCGCACATTTCACACCGGAACGGACGCTCCTTGTTGTGGATGTTGCGCACGTGCCGCTGCAGATTCGAGGAGATGCTGAAGGCGCGATCGCAGTACTTGCAGGTGTACGGCTGCTCGCCGGTGTGGGTGCGCAGGTGCCGGGTGAGATTGGCGGAGCGCGGAAATACCTTGCCGCAGAACTTGCAGGTGTAGCGGTCCTTGAGCTTGCCGCCGTTGGCGGCGACGACGCTGGCGCCGCTGCTGCAGGCATTGGCAGCGGCGGCGGCCAGGCCGGCGGCTCGCAGAGCCTCGTGGAAATTGTGCTCGGGCGGAAACGGCAGATGACGCGAGCTGCTCCCGCTGCTGATGCCAGCAGCCGGCGATTTGAGTGGCTCAAAACCTGGCCGTCCGCCCATTTGGCCTAAAAAATGAAACGGTGGCGTATTGAAGCGCGAGCGATAGAGCTCCTCGAGCAGCAGCTGGGGATGCAGCTGCCGCGGGCAGGCCATCACCGAGGCCGCCGCAGCCGCCGCCGAGGCAGCGCCCACGGCGGCAGCGGACGCCGCACTCTCGGACATGCTGCTCAGCTCGCCGCCCGTGCTGATGGGCGGCGAGGGCGAGGGCGTGGGTCCGGGCGAGGCGCTGACGCTGGGCGTGGGACTGCTACCCTTGAAGGACTGATGCGAGGTGGACGATTCTCCCGAGCTGTGCTTCATCACCTTAACGGGTGGTTGGCCGGCCACGCCCTCCGCGATTTCCAGCGCGGGAGTGGACGTGCGACTGGACAGCGACATGGCCAGCGGCACGGGCGTGCTGGCCGTGCACAGTGAGCTGCGGCGCTTGCGACTGACGGATAGATCCAATGGCAGCAGATCCACGCCGCTCTTATCCTGCTCCGGCTGCGCCTCCCTTTCAGCGGGCGGTGGTGTGCTCATTATGTCAATAGATTTCTGTAAGGAGAAGATTTGCTTAAGTCAAGGCTGCAATGGATGCCTGGGAATATCTAAAAACTTACTCTATCGTTGTCAATATCATTATCATTCTCATTATCATTGTCAATCTCATTATCATTATCGTTGGCCTGCTCCTGATCCTCGTGATGTGCTGGCTGCGGGCCGCTAGCTTCCGGCTTGGACTCCGCAATTGGCTTGTTTGGCTCCTTGCTCGAGTCCAGCTGTTCATAGGCATTGGACTCCTCCTGCTCCTCCTCCTCATCGTCGCTGTGCTGCTGCTCGGTCTTGATGGGATGCTTGCGCTCCGGCGTACTGGACTCCCGTTTAAGGCGCGGCGACTCCGACTTGAGACTCATCGCCGCCTGCAGCTGCTGTTGGAAGGCAGCGTTCGGTGAGACCAGCGGCGCCACCAGACCGCGCCCCATCTCGCTCAGATGCGGACCGGGAAACATGTGCGGCAGCAGCGGCTGCGGCCGGCAGTTCGTAAAGAAGTTGGGCAGCGCGTACGGCGGAAAGCCCGGAAAGAACGAGTGCGTGGGATGCATCGTGAACATGTGATTCGGAGGCGTGGCCATGGCGGCTGTGTCGCTGCTGTTGCTGCTGGCTGCGGCAGCGGCGGCGGCTGCAGCGAGTCGCTGATGCGCACCAGGCGGCAAAATGAGTTGCCCCGCCTGCGTCTGCTGCGGCTGCTGGTGGTGTTGGTGGTGCTGGTGGTGCTGCTGCTGCTGCTGCCGGTGCTGGTGCTGATGATGCTCTAGACGACTCTGTGGTCCGCTGCGAAAACTGTCAGAGCTGTCGCAGAACTTCTTGTGCTTGGAGAGCGAGGTGACCGTGCTGAAGCTCGTCTTGCACTTCTGGCACTTGATCTGCATGCGGCAGTCGGCGTGCATGCGCTTGTGCCGGCAGAGGTTGGAGAACTGCGTGTAGGCCTTGAAGCAGACCTCGCAGGCGAACGGCTTCACCGAGGAGTGGATGTGCTGGTGCTGCTTCAGACCGGACGATGTGGCGAATGTTTTACCGCACTCCGGACACGGATGACTGCGAGCGCCGACGTGATAGGCGCGAATATGACGCTGTAAATTCGATGGGTCACAGAATACCTGCACGCCACAGCGACGGAAAAGAAACAGAAAAAATAAGTAAGACAATGAGTATTGAATTTGAATAGCGAATGAGTATTATGTGTGTGTGTGTGTGTGTGTGTGTGCTATGGAGAGCGAATCGTTGTCGCTGCTGCTGCTACCTGTGCGCGGCGGAGTTTGCTCTGATTCGAGTGCCAAATGAAATGAAACTGAAATTAATCAATCATCTGCTGCTGTGGCCCCTAAACGGATCTATGCGAGCGCCTAAACAATGCTCCAACCGATCGACCGAACGAGCGACGCTCTCAGATTACGCAAAGCCAACAACAATTCCACCCACTACCAACAGCAGCAGCAGCGGCGGCAGCGGCGGCAGCGGCAGCAACACCTTCGTCAATTATTAACATCAATTGCTACAATTGTCGTAAGCCTGGCCATCCCCGTGACCCGCTCAGCGCCCTTGCCCCGCCCCTCATCGGGCTGACTACAACTCATTTGCCTAGGCAGCTACACAAAAACTGTGACCGCTTCACCAAAACAGTGACTCGGTGGTAATTAAATTAAAATGGGAAACTCTATTTGTGAAGTAAAGGCTTATATATAGAGTAGCGAAATATTGCATGAACTGAAGTTAATATAGTGAATAAATTAATAATGTATTCCATAAAAATTTTTAAAAATATTTATAATAATAAAATAAAAAAATTTATATTACTTCTTCATCAAAATATATAAAGATAAGAACACTTTAATATCCTAAGCTATATCTGATATTTCCCGCACATAAACTATTCATCTAAAGATTTCCACTTTGACTACTCTCGACCTGGTTTCAAAAATTCGTAGAACTACTAAAAGTCACCATTTCGAGCAAGTCCCTACAATTACTGCGACTCAATTACTGTGCAACCCTAGTCTAATCCATAGCTCTTTGATTTACATTTTTCTATTTTTTTTTTTTTTTTTTTTTTTTGTGTAGGGTGCGGGTAGGGGCAGCTAACGCAATGACAGATCGGGCCATTCATTTTTGTTGTTCGCTTGGGCCAGGCGCAGAGCCAGAGCCAGAGCCAGAGCCAAGTCTGGCGAAGTGTGCGAGAGCCAGGTACCAGTTTCTCAGTACCCACTTGAAACTTGATTTCGGTCAGCCTCCACCCGCGCTGCCTTTTACGAAACTGTTATGCCTAATCATGCTGTCATAATGCGCTACGAATTCATATCAAACGATGATCGAGTCAGCCTTTTTTGTCTATCGCAGAGTGAGAGAGGGAGGGATAGACAGTGAAAGAGAGAGAGAGAGAGAGAGAGAGAGAAAGAGACCGAAAGCCTGAAGACAAACGGCGACACACACAAGAATAGCTCGTGCTATAACTACATCAAATGGATTAGATTCAACTACCTCTCCAAAAAGGCGAAAAACGCCACAAAAGACAGCAACAACAATAAAAGCAACAACAACAACAACAACGAGCTACAAATGAAGCCTCAGCCTCATGGAGTCAGTGTAGGTGTTGTGGCATGCAAAGGCAGCTAAGCCCAAGACGGGCTCTCGCGCAGCACTCGCAAAGGTTGGTCTATGGAATGCGATTGTCTGGCAGGCAGTTGTTGTTGTTGCCGTTGCTGTTGTTGTTGTTGCTTGTGTGGCGTTAGACTCGTACGTGGGGTCAGCCAAAGGCGTCTGGAGTAGGGCACTAAAAGATGATGATGTGGAGATCTGGTGCAGGCAGAAGTGCAAACTGGTTCAAGCCTGGTCCCACACCAGGCCAAGCCAAGGAAATCTATTTCGCAAAAACTAAAATAAATTACTAATTAAGAGCAAGAGGAGTAGAGAAACTCTTTGCAGATTACCAGGCAGATCCCATGTGTATAAATTTATTTATTTTCTCCTGAGAAAGCAAGATCAGCAGATATTGAGCAGGAAATGAAGGAGCCTCGTTTGTTCAAGGAGTAAATGCAATGAGAAGACAGAGTTGGCCTAGTCATAGATTGATTATGGCTAGACCTTACTTAAAGGTCTATATATATGATTCAGCAGAAATTTCCTATTTCTGCCTTCTATGCTAAATATAGAATTGTCTTTGATGTATTTTTAGTTTCGTGTAATATGTGTAAACGTCCCAAGACCCTGATAGATTAACTAAAAGCCCTTTGGCCAACATTTTAGCTACTCCAATTTAGTGTCAAGTCTCAAGTACATAGTAACTATTCAAACTCTTTAGCGCAGTTGGTTCGGTGAAGTGCAGCTAAGCGCAAATGGAAAACATGTTAGATCCGTGGCAAATCCCTTTTGTAACGCTTTAAGCCGCCTGCTTGAAAAACAAACAAAGCTGACAGCTGCAAAGACCCCCGAGAGATTTTTTTTTTTTCGTCTTTTTTTTTTTGGGTTGCCCTGTCAATGCTGAACCTGGAGAGCAGCGAAAGTATTTGGCCTTTTATGTAGGCATTGACCAGTTACGAGTGCCCCGCAAGATCGATCATCATTTGTTTAGCCTCAGTGGCTCCCGTTTATGTCGCAGCTGGGCTAGCCCCAAAGGTATTGGTGAAGGGGGTAAGGGGGCGGTGTCTGCCCCACCACAATGCGTGCTACTTACATGCCACCGAAACAATTACAGAGCGCTAAGTAAACTAACTGTAATGCAACGATTGAAATACCGTTGGAAATGCAATGAGTAGAAGAAAAAACGAAAAAAGGGAAAACCCAAAAGAAAAAGCTTGATCTGTGCGCGGCAAGCTGGTACCTGGTAGCTGGGCTGGTAGCTGGTAAGGCTGACGACCACAAGATTGTAATCAACATGCCATTAAAACATCTTTGCCAGAGATGTCGAAGCCGTTGTCGATGACAATGACGAAGTGCTGGACCCTGTAACGAATCGCTCGGAGTCGAATCGAATCGAATCGAAACGATGCATAGATGGATCGTTGGCCCGGATAGCCCTGGCCCTGCCCGGCTAACTGTTTGTATAGATAGTGATTCGACTTGAAAAAGCTCCTCTCTGCGGCCCTTTAATTTTACATTGGCATTCAAATGCAGCGCGAAGATGTACGGCAACAACAACAACAACAGCAACAGCAACAACAACAACAAAGTCGGCTCATTACCCAAGCAGCTCAAATGGTTCGCTTAAGTGTTTTGGATGAGTACACGCCCTGATTTCGTATTGCCACAGCGCGTGCGATAGCTCTAAAGGTTTTTTTTTTCGGTCAGCGACAAGAGTCAGCAAAGAGGTTTTTTTTGTTGCTCTGGGCCCGGGGCTATTGATCTGCTTGAAATCAAAAGTCTTTAGCCGTGTACCACATACCACCGCCGCCATCGCCGCCGTCAGCGCACAGCTGATATGATAATTAATGACCTGATCAACGCTGTTGGCCAAAAGGGCCTTACCTCACACCTAACAATGCCCCCAGAGTACTTGTTGGCTAAGGCAGAGCTGGCGACAGAGCTGGAAGTCTCTGATATACCACGGAGGGGAGGTAGGGGAGGTACTCCTATGTCCTATGATAGACTCCTATTCCTTATGATATTACAGGATAGTTTAGGGTAACTTAGACTAAATATGATATAATTCCGAAGGGTTTCACATTTCACATTTAACGTAGGTTTTTCATTGATTTAACTAGTTGAGAATAATAAAACATAAATTTTAGACTGGCCTAACGTCTTAGGCTTATTCGCCTTGATTCCCCTTCCACTGGATTTTATAGCTCTCTACTCAGCAACTTGATGTCATATATTCCACATCGATTAAACCTGCTTCGTTTTCCCATTTTTCCCTCCTTTCTTTAACTCCCTACCACTCTCCCTCCCATCACACTGCCACTTTCCCTATAAATTGCATGAAACATCTTCTTCACTTACCTTGGAACAATTCTCGCAGGAATATTTCCTTATGTTATTATGGGCGATCGCTCCGTGTTTGATCAGCAACGGACGATGGCAGAAATGTTGGGAGCACAACTCACAGGCGAATTCCCCACGTTTAAAGTGATGCGCGCCCACCAGATGATCGTCCAGGCTGCAAAGGCAAAAGAGAACATAAACAATTGTGAGTGAGGGTTTTACTTTCATGCCATGCGGTGGTTGAGTTTCTCTTATCGCCGGCGTTGGCATCAGCAAATGGAAATTAGCATTTGCGACAGTTGGGACAAAAGCTGTGCACAATCGACAGCCTCAATCAGCGGCATTTGCGTCAGTTCACACGACCCCATCCATAGACACACTCTCTGCTTCTCCCCCTCTCTCTATCTCTATCACTCTATCTATCCTTCTCACTCTATGTTTGCCTTCAGCTACTTTGTTTGTTGTCCAACAGCAGGGAACGCCCATACCCTGTCACACACACACACACACACTCATACATCTGGGCAATGCGACTCTCCACTTGCTGTTGGCGTCAATTAGTCAAATGATGTTCAATATTTAATATGCGACGCTGATAAGCGATCGCGCCCTCCAACAGCTGTGGCCAATGAGTGTCCTCCGCAGACCCGCCCATGGCACCATACGCCTCCCTTTCGCTGGGTGTCCTTGATTGTGGAGCAGCGAGTGCGATGCTTATCGCGGCAGCTCGCGTGGGAGGAGCCGCCGTCGACAAAAGGCGGACACATTTTTAGCATATATATATATATATATTTTTTTTTTTCATTCGATTTTCCTGCTCTTTTCGTTCCTGCTGTTGTTGTTGTTGTTGTGATTTTTGTCATCGACATGGAAGAGTTGACTGGGCCAGTGCTTCAATCCTCTTGTGCGTTTGAAGTGTGGGCGTGCGTTTGTTTGCTTACAACAACAGCAACGCCAACAACAACAACAACAACAGCAGCAGCAATAAACTATGCATGTTCAACATCAGATAAATTGCAAAGCCTGACGGACTCAGCGACACGCAGACACCAGACACAGTTAGAGAGAGAGAGAGAGAGAGATAGATAGAGCAGAGAGGTTCTCCTTTCACTGTGAGCGCTTCTCATATAAAATTCCATAAATCACACACGCACACACACTGATAAGACTCCAATTGTGTGTGTGTGTGTGTGTGTGTTCGGCCACCTACTCATGTAGAGCCCCCTTCCCTTCCCCCACTCTCTGCTCCCTTCGAATTAAATCAGAGCGCACTTTAGCACTTGAACACAAACAAACAACGAAACAATAGAGGAGCGAGCAATGTTATTTTCGTGTAAAACATTTGTAAATATTGTACAAAAGTTTTGCATTAAACATTGTAATTGCAGTTTGATTAAGGATCTCTTTAGTCAGAAATGAATAGCTCTAATTGATGTAATAACACTCAATATCTGCCTTTCAGCAACTAATTTTCTGCTTATATATTGCCTTGAAATAGAAAGTGGAGTACTTGGGATGCGCTCAAAAGAAATTAAGATTAAAGTAAAAGCTGAAACAGATATTGAATAGAATTTATAAAGTTATAAGTAGAGGACAAAGGAGTCGAAGTAGACTCAGTTGAGTTACATTCTCTCTGGGTCTCTTTGGTTTCTCACTCTGTTTCTTTTGCTTGTTCTCTTTTTCTGTCTTTTCTTTTTATTTCTTGATCGCTCTGCCTATATCTCTCATCTTCTCTCCCTACTCTCCTTCTGTACTTCTATGTGTCTTTGTCTATGTTTCTCTTTCTCTGGCTCTGAGCCTCACCCGTTGTCAGTCTTTCTCTATCTCTATGTCTCATTTTCTGTAAGTCTTTGGCTATTTTAGTCTCTCTTCATGCAAGTCTCTTTTTCTTCTATGTCTTTCTTCTTCAAAGTCTCTCCATATCTCAGTCTCGCTTTCTTCAAGTATATATATATATCATTCTTTCTCTCTCTTTGTTTCTCATCTGTCTCTTTTAATTCAGGACACTCTATTCTCAGTCCATCTATCTCCTTGCCTCCTCTACATCTCTTCCTTTCTTATCAGTCTCTCCTCGTTTCTACTCTTTGTATTTATACCTCTCTCTGTCTCTCCTTATCCTTACTTCGGCATTTCCCCATTATAAATAATAACTCAACCCAATTCCAAATATTTACAATTCCAAACATTGCTACTGACCCGAGATCCCTTGGCTAATAAAACAGATAGATAAATCTGAAGCGCATTGGCAACTCTCACTTTCAAACGTTTGGCAACGCTGCGACGTTTGTTTAATGGCATTTTTATTGGCCACACTAAATAGGCATTATCGTAATCAACTTTAATTAAGATCGCCGACATGCGGCTCAAACGTTTAGCAACAATTGGGAATAGTTTTTATATTTCTTTTTGTTTTGTTTGTATGTGTTTTTGTTTCAGCTACTTTTTGCTGTCGGCCTCCAGTCAAGGCGCCTTACCCATAATTCTACGGGTAAGTTGGAAGCTAATTGGCAGCTTGTTTTCAGTCTTAACATTTATAGGTTGTTTTTCAGTGTGAATTTTGTTGTTGTTATTTTTGATTTAGATTATTGACGGTTTTTGCTGCTTTAAATGCCAAACCAATTTGCGGACATGCCCTAAAAAATCGCCTTATAAAAACTATGCGTTCGATCGAGATCGTTATAAGCAATAATTGTGGACGAGGGGATGCTGACAGTACTTACCGTTCTAAATCCGTATAGACATTATCACAGACCTCACAGCGTATATCGAAACCGTTCTCGTCGTCTGTGAAATCGTTATCGACTTGACTGTTTATCGATATGTTCTTCTTATCCTTAGCAAATTCGTCGCCGCTGTAAAAGCCTGAAATGAAAAATTGCAAAGAAATCAAGATTTATTAGGTAATATTACGAAAATGCATAAATCTTAAATTATATTAAATTGTATTTTATTTATAGATAAACATATTAAAATCTTTCTATTTATCGTAAATGAAATAAATATTTCAATCTATTATTAATATTTATTATTATTTTTTTTTTTTTTTAAGATATTTTATAAGAATAAAAAAGAATTTAATAAAATATAGAATTAATTATATACAAATTTGGTTGCTTAGAAGATATTCTTCAATAGATTTTTTAATATTTTATAATTTTATATATATATATATATATTTTTTTTTTTTTTTTTTAATACTTAGCTTGACTCTCGTTTTCAACTTTTACAACATTAATTTGTTTAATAAATTTTATAAATATTTTTTTAGCTTTGATTTTTAATTATGCCCATTTCTGGGTTTCCTCGCACAATTTACAGCACTCACACTTTAGTTAGAAACTTCTTCACTTGTCGATGGACGATTTCCGATGATGAGTTTTTGTACTTAGATATATACGTATATGCTTATATGGGTTAACAATCTAGGGAGCACTTGACAGAACCGTTCGGTTTCGCGTTTGAGGAACAAGTGTGTCGCAGTGGGCGCATTATGCCGCCGAGCTAATGTTTTATTTGCTTGCTAACAATCTGCGGAAGGACTAGCCAGGACGCACTGACATATGACCAGCACACACACACACACACACACACCAGGACAAACACGCAAACACTTAACACAAAATTGGTAGCAGCGACCAAATCGTGTGTGCACTCATATAGCTCATAGAGGGCATAGAGCTTGACGTTGAATAGATAATTGTTACCAAAATGAAAGTAAAGCACCCTCTGCCCACACAAACAAGGCAAGAGAGAGACAGACAAGCACAGAGAAAGAGTAAGTAAGAGAGAGAGAGAGAGGTAAGAATGACAATTCCGAGGGGAAATGACTATCAGAGCGGACGGGCACTTGGCCGGGCTAGAAGTCCGGCGACTTGGACGCGTCGTGAACTTGGACAACCACCAGGTGACACAGGTGAGCAGCAGTAGCAACAGCAACAGCAACAGCCCCTTAACCCTCTGCCCTGGCCAAGTGGCCAAGAATGCAGCCTAAGGGATGACAATGTCGAAAGATTATGCATGCAAACATAGAAACACATCCACAGGGAGGACGCCGAGCGCCGGAGAGGGGGTTGACAAGGACTCGGTCGGTGAGCGCGGTTAGCTTCGGTTCCGTTGGACTGATTTTGGTACGAAAGTCATATAGCACCTTATACCAAAACACACTGAAACTGGTGTGGCACAGGTGTTGCCTCTCAAGGCCCACCCCCTAGCCCACGCTACCTCCTACTCCTCCCCCTCCCACCCCATAGGTGACTAGGGGTGACTCTTGATGAATATGTATTCATATATACGTGCTTCTCGTCAGACTGCATAATTGCGGGTCGCGTCTATGTTTCGGGTCAAAAGTTAATTTTTCAGCGTGTGCAATATGCCCCTCAAAGGAGGGCAACTGCGACTCCTACTGCAACTCCTGGCTCTATCAAAGATTCCCACGTCAAGTTCCTTATGCTCGCAATATGTGTGGCCGGAAGCGTGGGATATTGGGCGGGTGAATTTTCACCCATGCTGCTCTGGGCAGGCGCAGCGTCAGCTGTGGGCCGCAGATAAGGCGCAGGCTTGAGAAAAGGTTCTAAGTAGAGCCGAGTGGAATGACTTTGATGCCATATGGACGACGTAACGTTAAGTAATTGCATATGCAAAGTAACAACATCAGGCAATTTTCTTATACAGCTGCATTCTCGATTGTGGGAAAGCGTTTCTAATGCTTAAATATAGAATTAAATATAGAATATCTTGGCAGTTATTAATTCTAGTGTACAATTTAAATATATACATGTATAAAAATTTTTAATTTATTTTTTCATATCATTATATTATTAAGGAAAATATATATATATATAAGGAAAATATATATATTTATATTAAAATTTGTTATCATATTTTCAATGAATAAATTTTAAAAATATACATAGAATATTTTTTTATGTATATACATTTTTTTCCATTGTATTTTTTATTGATTTAAATAAATAAAAATATTATTAAAAAAATATAAAAATATTTGTAACAAAATAATATTTTTTATTTAATTTTTCCAACATAATTTTGATGTTTTTTTAGAACAATGTGAATTGATATTAATTTATTTTTAGCGTGATTTTAAAAATTTGCTTTTTTTTTCCTGGCAATAGACCTATGTGGTTAGGATTGATAATTCTAACAATATTTTCAATAATAAGAATTCCTATAATTTAAGTCTCCATTGCTCATTGAAGCTATATTTAATTTTTAAATTTCTTTGAAATAATTTTTTTATTATATTATTGTACTACTCAATTAGATCATAATTTAATGCAATATGTTCATATAGAAATGTTTTCTCCTATTGTCTTAATGTCTCTATTCTATAGAAAAGAAATGGAATTCCACAATTGATTAATCAATTGCTGACAATCGAACTGATCAGAGATTGCTAAAGTTTTTCGACAAGCAATTCTTTACTCATCTATGATCTATTACGACTCCCGGTCGAGCCTTATCAATGGGCATTAGCCTCACCACTCCATCCCGACCCCCTTACGCTACGCTACAGCCCATGCATCCAAAATCCTTTCACACCTTTCACCAGTCGCAGCTGTTTGGCTATCCACCTGGCAGATTGATTTACTCCACAGCGCTCGACTGGCTGACAATTGAATGGAGGCGGGTTTTCAGAAGTTGCTGCTGCTGCTGCAATCAGGATGGCAGATTGAGAGACAGACAGCAGCGTGAGAGGACAGAGCGGAGCGGAGGGGGCGCAAGGCTTGTGTCTGACCCTGAATTGTGAAACGTGTTGTGTGTTTTCATATCGAAACGGAAGCCAAAAACTGTTGACAAATGATTGATTGAATTATTTACACCTTACAACTACCGTGGCAAAAATCAAAAGTTAGATCCGCCTGCTAATCGATTTGGCAGCCGGTCAGAGTACAAAAAAAAAAAAAAAAAAAAAAAAAAAACATACAAAAAAGGGTTCGGCTGGGTCTCTAATCAAATATGTATATAAAAAACAACAACTCCTAATGATGCCCAAATTGACGACCGACGATCATTTAGCTGAAGAAGCCAAGTTTTCGGTTTTCAGTTAACGTTAGGTAGTTTTTTTTTTTTTTTGGTAACTTGGCATATAACATGCCAGCTCATTAATCATCCATTGGAGACAATGTCACAGTGTCTATATGTGTGTTTGTGTGTGTGTGGCAGTTAGTTTTGGGCTTGGTCTTGCTCTTGCTCTTGCTATTGGTATTGGCGTGTGCCCCCTTGATCATTCTGGCAATCGCAGCTCGGCATCCATCGAGCATTGAATTCAATTGTTAATCTTTGATTGGTCGATTGAAGTCGCACCGCGCGCTAAGCTGAAAACCATCTCAAAAGTGGTTTAGTGCTTTATTTCTATATGTTTCGTGTGTATTTTTTTTTTTTTTTTTTTTTTATCATCAAGCATTGAATGGGTTTTGTCATTTGGCAGTGGGACGAGAAGTTTCAGCACATAAAAGCTTCAAGTGTAACCAGAAATCGATGCAACATTTTTGGTATATGAATAAGCCAAATTAATTAATTGGCAAGATATATTTACAGATATGATAGCAGGAAAGCTATGTATATTAAAATTTATTTCTTAGACGGGTACTTCAAAATGGAATTTCATTTAATTTTTGTTGAAGGAAGCCAATCAACTTATGGCTAATTTTCCTATAAATGAAATCAGTCAAAGAAAATTATTTAATTACCATTTCTTAAGTACAACATCTTACTGCCGAATCGAACTATAGCTTGCATTAATGAATTGAAATTTTTCATAAAAAAGGTGCTTATATAAATTACAATTATTTCTCATGCATTCTTTATACAGGATATGTTTATGTAATTTAAAATATATTTAATTAACCTGTTAGTAAATATTTTTTATAGTATCCAATATTATAATATATAATATATGAACAAATATTTTTCCTTCTTCTTTTTGCAAATGTTATGAATTTTTCAATAGCCGTCGGAGTTTGGTTAAAGAAAACCAAGAAGTTAAAAAAAAATTACGTATGTATTATTTATGACATATAAAAACTTTATATGTATTTTGAATTTATAAATGTTTTAGAAAATTTGTTATCAAACATAAAAAAAATATTAAAATTAAATTTTTTAAATACCTATTATTTTTTTACAAATTAAAATTATAATTTCTCAAATTAAATTTTTATAAGTGTTATTAATGAAACTAAAGGTTATCAAAGAAGTTTATAAGAATGCATAAAATTTTCTTAAATATTTTTGGTATTCCTTACATGTTAGGAAAATTGTATTTCTCTTTAAATTTCATAGACAGTTCATGAAAGCTCTTTTTTTTTGGCTTTCCAATTTAATTGAAATAAATGTAAAACGCATTTAATGAAACGCACTTTCAGGTTGACTTTCGGTTAATTTCAACGACTAAATGAAAATGTAAATACTTAAGCAGTAAAACAAATGCAATGTAACGGTCAGTTTTAGTTTAACCCCCGTTTTAGAGAGGCAGCGATGCTTGGCATTTTCAACTTATGCCACAAACATTTGCTACCCCTGCGCAGGACACACAAGGATCGGCGTCTTATGTGGCCAACAGGGCGTGACCTAAAAAACTTGACAAGAGAATATTTAAAAAATACGTTAAAAAAATAAAAATGCGAGCAGCCAATGCGCACAGGTGTGCAACGTGCTCACTTTTTTATTATTATGTTTTGGCTTTTTATTTTTTTTTTAATTGCAAAAAGATTTGAGCAGCTAAGCTCAGCATATGCTAATTGAAATATACAGAATGTTTATATGCTGTATCAAGTATTAAAATGAAAAATAAATATATTTTTAAGCTGACATTGATATCAAGATAGGAAATATAAGTTGAAAAGCCAACGACAAGGACAACGGCGACAACAACAACAACAACAACAACAACAGGATATCAGTGGCAAAGCCCGCTGGGAATCTATGGAATATTGTCAAATGAGACGTGTGCATAAATCCCACATATTTATAGGCAAACACGGAGCACCCTAATGTACATTAGGGTGTTCGCGAGGCCATTGGATTAGGCTTAAATTGAGCGTGTGCTGAGCGGCGCTGCGCTGCGCCGCGCTGATGGATCTCTAAATGAAATTAACAAACATTTTAATAACAAATGAAAACATGTGCGGTTGCCGCAGATTGCATGCGCGCATGCGCAAAAAGGACATGCGGAGGGCGGGGGTTGACGTGCTTAGCCCTTATACATATAGGGGATGCTGGTCGATGCTATTGTTGTTGCTGTTGCTGTTGTTGTTGTTGCTGTTGTTGTTGTTGCTGGCTCGTGCCGTTGACTTTGTCACGCGCATTTCATGCAGCAACCGGAACTCTAATTGCCTCAGCTGTACAATTTATCCTGCTGCCAGCATATACATATATAGGAACATATATCCGATATATCAACATTTCAATCTCAATCTGAGCAACTCACCATTATCACGATCGCTGCGATCATCGCTATTGTTGTTGTTATTGTTGTTGTTGTTGTTGCTAGCGGCTGCCATGGCGGCTGCTGCGGCAGCGGCTGCGGCTGCTGCAGTTGCTGCCACTGCTGCCGCGCTGCTGCTGCCGCTGCTGATGTCGTAGGGCGTGCGGGAGCGGGGATCGACCACGATTTCAGCGCCTGCACTAATATCCCGTTTCGTTTCGTACCACAGCTAAATGGAAATGCAATAAAAAATAATTAAAAAATCGAAAAAATAAAAGGTTAAAGATCATTATTTGGTACGCACACAGCGATCGACAACGAAATTCCTTAAATTAGCCTCTTCAGCCTCATCGATCTGAGCGTTGCGTATCTTTTTTAGCCATGTGGCCACATCCGCCGAGGGCTCCAGCCAGCCATGGAATAGCGGTCCGGCAATTACCTAAAATACAAATGAAACGAAATTTAATTCAATTACAAATATTTAATAGTTAATTAACAATTGAAGCTGCTGGCGCCATCTGTTGTCTGCAATGGCGCATAACTGTGCTAACTGGCATATGTTGCGGCGTTTAGCGCAGTCGCAAACCAACAGTGATGACAACAACCAGCATATGGCAGCGCCAAAAGGTAGTAGAAATATCTTGAAATAGTAGTTTTTAGTGTAAAAACGTAGCAGAAGGGCCGGCAAATATGGCAGAAGGGAAAATCTTGAATCGAAAATAAAATTTAATGCATTAAATTTAAAAAAAAAACTAAGAGTGAATCAAACATAAAGTTACGACAAGAAAATATATTTAAAATGTATGTGTATATATCTTGATAACTTAAAATTAGTGTCATATTTAAAAATTAAAAAAAAAAAAAAATAAATAAATAAAATATTAATAAAATACTGAACTAAAAACAAAAAATTAATATATCACAAATTTTAATAAAAAATAAAAGCAAATTCATAGAAACATGTAAAATCCAAAAATTTAATAAAGTAAATTAATCCAATTTTTTAAATTATTTAATTTAATTTAATTACAAAAAAAAAAAAAAAAAGAAAATAGGAATATAAAATAAGTAATTAAGATACATATTCTTGACATACACAAAACATGTCCATGCATAAAATTTTCTTGGCAATATTATGACAGAAATTGAATTCGTTAACGGTTAAAATCAACCTATTTACTCTAAAGCTAATAATCCAAACGCCTTTTATGCACAGCAGGACTGCGCCACGCCCTCTACGCTGACGCCAGTTGATTGATCGCAAGGTCATTCGAAGAAGGCAAAAAATAATAAATAAAACTTGCAGCATAAAAGAGCAACAACAATGGGCAAAGCGCAGAGACGCCGACAGTTTTTGTATGCAAAACAAAATAAAAGCAGCGCCTCAGCCACTACAACAACAACAACAATAACAACAACAGCGTAACGTCGCTAAATACGCATAATTTATACAAATCGTCGACTGCGGTTTGGCAGGGCAACCAAAGACGCAGCGACGCCAGCAGCAGCAACAGCAGCAACGGCAGCCAAATGACTTGCGTTTACCGTTACGCCGTCGCAGTCAACGCCAGCCGCCGCCGCCGTCAGGCTCTTGTCCGACAAGTCGAATGGAAAAACGGTGCTTTACCGATTTTGTTTTCTTTTTCTCCTTTTTTTATGCATTCTTCATTAAGTGGCGAGCGTCTGCATGCGCTAGTATGTGTGCGTGTGTGCGAGTGGGAGAGTCTGCAGAGTTTGGGCAGCGCTGCTGTGGCAGCGTGTTTGCTGAGCAGAGAGTGGGAGTGGGAGAGAGCTTTCGAGTGTGTGTGTAAGTGTGTGTGAGGAGAGCATATGTTTGTGCACGCTCCAAAAATTAAGTTAACAACGCTCAAGTGCTCGCGCCGTGGCTTATGCAAAGAATAATTTCAAACCAACTTTATATCGAAGCACACTCACACACACGCACACACACATTTATATGTATATGCAAGTATTTTTTATAAAATAAAATTCAAGTTGCGTTTTACACATGAGCGCAGCTGCTGCGCAAGTACATATAAGCGTGTGTGTGTGTGTGTGCGTGTGTGTGGTCAAGTGCGGGTGTAACGATGTGAAATTGTGGAACGACCGCGGCTTCAACTGATGAAGAGCACAAACATACATATATACGTATGTATGTATATGCAAAATAATGAGAACATAAGCAAAACTTATTTTAAATGCAAATACTTTAATAGTTAATAAAAGTTAATAATATATAAATAACTGCCCAGTTATTATATGCATGCTTAAGAACTGTTTTACGCATGTGAATGCATTGTGTGAATGCATGAATGTGTGAATACATGAATGTGTGAATAAAGGAGTCTATCAATCTATGAATATATGTATATATGAATGTAAACATACATGAATGTATGAATGCTTTAATGTATGAATGTATGCGTATGAGAATGTAAGAATACACATCTATCTATCTATTTTATATATAAGGTATACATATATATATATACGAGTGCATGAAGGGTTTTCAATATACCACACATAAGACTTGAAAGCTTTATAAAACCGTTGAGAAAATAATTCGACAGAAACTATAAAACAGAAAATCAAAGGCCATAAAAGTTCTCAATAAAACTATTCTTAAAATTCGGTGGAAAAGACGAGTGTGAAATAAAAGCAGTAGAAAACTTATATAAGGAATGATTGAAGCCTGATAAAGACTTTGTAGCTAAGCAACAATTTCTGCTGAAGTTGAAGTTTTTAAGGCTAAAACAATTACAAATCTTTGCTCTCATATGCTTCTATAAGAAATCAGTTTTTTATTTGATGCCACAACGGCAAAACATGAGCTAATCGCAGCTCTGTCAGATATCGGCAATAAACAGAGATTAGCCTCAGCTCCCTCAGAGCGGAAATCGCAATATGAGTTGGTCACCAGCAGCAGATAAGATCAGAAGGATATCGAATAGATAGATAACAGGACTAAAGCAACTAAGCAACAAGCCAAAGATTGCGACGGCTATGCAGTCATATGAGAAGTTGTAGTTGTCGTTGTTGTAGTTGTTTTAGTTGTTATTGCTGTGAGCTAATCCCTGCTGCAAGCCGGCACATGTGACAGAGCCAAGGGAAGAAACGTGTCCTGCTACCGTTTGCAGCTATTCATAAGTTTATTAAAAAAGAAAAATGTATGAAAAATGAAAAAGAGGCCACAAAATGCGTACAAAAACATGGCACAGTCAATGGGCAAGAAAAATATTTACGCGCCAGAGATAATCTCTTCAAAGTGTTGGGTTCACACCACGGCTTCAGGGGCTTCAAATTGCCATAGATACAGAAACACAGCTAAAGATACAGCTACAGATACAGATACAGATATGGCCAATGTATCTGTCAAAACGGAAATGTGAACGAGAAGGAGAGAGAAGCAGAGGCAGAGGCAGAGGCAGAGGGAGAGGGAGAGGGAAAAGTGCGCTTGATTTGAGGATCATCCAGTGAGCAAAAAAAAATATATATATATATATATATATATTCATATATGAAAAGGAAGGGATCAACGCAAGGACTGTCTGTCAACGTGTCCTTTTGCCAATTTTGCCACTGCCAACTGTCGTTTTGGCTCGAGTGCCAGCAACAACAACAATAATATTGTTGCAATACCTGAGTGAGAGAGAGAGCCTAGGGTAGGGTCCTCAGATTCCCTCTGACAATTGTCAACAGGCTCGAGGCGCGATAATTTGATTGGATTGTCTGTCAGTTTGTCTGCCTGCAAAAGTGTCAGTTGACCGACAGTCGGACCGACCGACGGACCGACGGACCGACTGACTGACTGACAAGCAATCGAAGGGTTCGCGTCCCAAACTAATTGGAATCATCAGGCCGAGCCTCAACTTAAGCCTCATTTAGGGCGCACTTTGTGGATGGCCCGGTGAGACTCACAAAATTAGCTCTGGCCAAGGATTAGGCACATTTGACTGACAATTGAGCGTAGCCCAGAAACAGAAATAGAACCAGAGCAAGAGCCAGAGCTAGAGCCAGAGCCGCAGCCACTGCTAATCAAATCTTTTTCCAATCGTTTGATTTTCCCAACGAAAAAAAAAATCGCACAATTTTTGGGCAATTTTCGCATAAAAATTTCGCGCGCAGCTTTGATGGGATTAAATTTCCCGAGCGAAAAAAAAGGAAGCGGAAATTGGAGACGATTTGCAGACCGAAAATTCGCACATATGCGAAAGGATTATGATGAACACATACATATATATATTTAGAGAGAGAGAGAGAGAGAGGTATATATTATATGTGGTATCTATAACAATGTCACGAGCTGCACAAAATGTTTCAATTTGCGGTTTTCTGTTTGGGTTAAGCGTAGAGAAAATTTAGGAATCGTTAGAATTTTCATAACATATAAGAAAAATGAGAGACTATATATAAAAAAAAATTCATAAATGTATGAATAGAATACAAACTTATGCAGCTATTATCAATATTATCAATTTCCTTGACTATTGATCATCTAGTCCAAAGTTTAAAAATTCAACCACGTCATGCCTAATGGTCGTTGAGATGATAGTACTATCTTTTATTGTTCCCAGTTTGGCTGATAAATTCTAAGAACTGATAAATTCTAAGAACTAGATTCCTTTGATATCTCAATTGAAGTGTTTTTGGTAATTGTTATAATAGACTAAAGAAGTTTTCTAGCACAGTGCTATAATCTCTAAAATGGAAACACTAAAATGAAAATCAGATAGTAATATCATTTTATCTATAAATAGAGAGAGTATCTAGAATATTGACAGTTGATATTGATGATACCGGTAATAAAATCTAGATCAAAGCTGAAATCTAAAGATCAATAACTTGATCGTAATGAGAATATATGAAAGCCCTTGCAATATTTAACTACTTCTAAGAGAATAGAGATTGAGAGAACTATATTTCTATCAAGGAATTGGCAAATCCTTATTTTTGCTTTTGAAGATAGCTTTTACTTAGAGTAAAAAGTGACTAAAGTCCTTAATGAGATTCTATAAAACTGACTTACGGAGTTCTATATCATAGACAATAGTATATTTAGAGTTCAATTTCATTAAGTGAAGAGTAGCCACAGCAAAAAATGCTGAAATAGTTTCTCATTCAAATTGAATTTTCATAGATTTGAGAAAATACATGTGACTAAATATATAATCTAAACGATTAGTTAACTCACCTCCCAGGCCAGATGGCGATCGCTGGGCTGCTGGCACAAGTGCATGGGAAAGGGTCCGTAGCGGGAGTCGCGTGGCAAATCGGTCTTGGCGTAGACGCCATTATCACGAATGTCCAGATCACAAAAGGGGTCGCGCAGGCGCGCCATCTGCATTAGAAGCTCTTGCGTCTTGTCGCTGAACAGGTGCTCCATGTTGGTGCCGCTGCCGGAACCAGAGCCGGAACCAGAGCCCGAACCAGAGCCAGAGCCGGAGCCAGAGATCGAGGCAGAGACAGAAGCGGGCGGCGAACGTTGCAGTCGCTGTTGCTGCAGATGCAATGACAAATGCGGCGGCGGCGGCAGCGATGGCTGCTGCTGCAGTGACTGCGACTGCAACTGCGACGGCTGCTGAAGCAGCGCCGCAGGAGGCGGGGATATCGTTGGCGGCAGGTGGCGGCCGAACGTCTCCTCCGGCCGCGCCTGGCTGGACGTTAAGTGCGCCGGCGGCAGCGGGCCAAAGGGCGGCGCTCCACTGCTGAGATCCAAATGATGATGATGATGATGGTGGCGCGCGACACTCGGATCGTAGTCGTCGCCGTTAGAGCCTGTGAAAGAAGAGTGATAACGATTACTGATTATCGATTAACGATTAACGATTAGCGCTCGGCAGTTGCGAGTTTGACTTTGCTCGAGTGGCTCGTAATCCACAACAAGATCAGTTGCTCAGCGACTGCCCACAAATAGAAAGTGGTCTAGATAAAGACGTCTCATATCTCTGACAATGACAACGTACACCCACACCCACACCCTCACCCACATAGACATGTGGACATCATATCAGCCTGGTATCGGAGTTGTCATCGTTGTTTAATTTGGTGTTTGCGTCTCTATCTCATTGACTTTGACAATTGTTGCGCACTGCAGAGCGAAAGAGGGAGAGAAAGAGAGAGAGAGAATGGGCGATCCCTCAATTCGTACATCGATTATCTATAATGAGGCCCCACTGTACTGTGCCACGGCATGGCGCGTGAAGTGTGCGATCGCAGCTCACCTGTAGATCGAATTACACGATTGTATTTGATTGCTTGTTGTTATGCAGCCTGTGCAAACAATGTCTTCGAATCGAATACCTCGCGGCAACTATTCGAAATATTTCCGATATTTTGTTTATTTGCTATATTAAATTTTTCGTTCCTGCATTTGGTTTTGTATTTATTTCAAAAGATGTGACTTGTTCAGCTGTTGTTTATCAAATAAATAGACAAAACAACAGAACAACGATTCCCCGAACCAGACTAGACATTTGAGATGACATTTAACTCAGCGCTAAAGTTTTACATAAATGATATAGACTCTCCATTCATGCATTTGACTGATATAATCAATAGTTTACTGTTAATACCTATCATAATTTGATAAGATCCTAATCTGTGATAACCCATTCTCATTCTACTTCTCACTCTCATTCCCATTCGCGTTCTCCTTTTCACTGTGATCATCATCTGCATTCTTATTTTCATTTCATTTATCATTATCATTGTCATTATCATTATCATTATCATTATCATGATCATTATCTTTATCATTATCATTATCATTCTCATTTTTATTTTCACTCATTCTCTCATTCTAATTCTCATCCTCATCTTCATTCTCATCTCATTTTTCTTTCTCTTACTTTCCCTCTCGCTGATTTTCTATCGATGTTCCTCTCTCTCTCACACCATCTCTATCCTTTTCTCTGTCTCTTTTTCCTGTCTATTGCTAATAACCCATATTCCCACAACTTGAAAAAGTTCTTAACAAGCCTTAACACACACCAATTCTCCACACGTACACACCCACACAAACACTCACACGCAGATAATCATGAAAAAACACTTGTCAAAAATGTTGCACACATTACGCACCGATTATTTATTTATTAACTATTCTTGTTGTTGTTGTTGTTGCTGCTGCTGTTGTTGTTGTTCTTGTCATTGTTGTCTGGGGCTTGCAGCTAGCTACCTAGTGGCTTATTTAAACACTTGAAACTAAATCGTAATTTGAGCTGTTAGACAGAAATATATATGTATATATATATTTGTATTTGTATTTGTATTTGTATTTGTATTTGTATTTGTATTTGTATTTGTATTTGTATGTGTATGTGTATATATGACAAGCGCTGTCCAAGTTACAGGGCAACAAATAGCCGCGATAAGAGGCGAAGTGAAAACGAAAACGAAAACGAGAGGCCGAAAAAAGATATCGTCCAGTCAGTCAGAGCGCGCACACACGACAGCCGCAATAGGTAGTAACAGTAATACGAGCTCTTGTCGAATACCCAGTTGATAAGTATCTGCCATATAAATAAGCCGCACACACACACAAACACATCCGCAAACACCCGCACACGCATTGGCAAGTGGTTTACCAATCCACAACAAGCTGACAAGTTTCGCACTTGCGTGGCACACGCTATTTGCATAATATCCTTAACAAACCCATCCGAAATCGAGCCTTATTTGCTGCTATCTATCTCACTCACTCTCTCTCGCGCTCTTCCGACCCGCTTTGAAGTGCCTTTGTGGGCACCGCCTGTCTTCGCGCCCACCAAACCAGAACTACGCTAAGTCCATCTGTTAGCTATACAGTTATAATCGTACCGGAGCTACTACTATATAGCATAGCGTTGCGCCGAGCGATAAGCGCGATGAGTACTCGGTATCAGTTCTACTTGTTCCTTCAGCTGTACATGAAGCGGGTTTTTTTTATTGTATTTCTATTTCTATTTTTTATTTATTTTTCTTGTGTTTTCGGTTCTTCACAGCTATCATAAGAATTTATTATTCACATCCACTTAGGCACATGTGTTTCGGTTTAAGTTTTCGGTTCTGTTTGGGGTCCCTGCTAATTAGTTTAGTTAATTACATTTCGGATTTGTTTTAAACTGTTGCAAGCTGTGCTTTTGTTCTAAAATTGTGCTTTGCTTTTCTCTCTCTGTCTCTCAATCTTTCTCTCTTTATTCATTCTTTGATAAGATGCCAACTGTGAGTCACTCGAGATGCAAGCTGCGGCACAGAGATTTGCCATTGCGTAAATATCTGAGTTGCATCTCAGGCATTTCATTTTTTTCTGTTTTTTTACGGCACTTGGAAAGTTTAGAAATAGTTAATCAAGTACTCAAATCAAAGAAGAATTTCAATCAGATCATATGTAGGATTCATACATTCAGCTAGTCAATTTTTTATACATATTTATTTAATATATATTTGTAATAAAGTTCCTGAAATTAATGTAACCTATTCCCAGTTTGCCAACATTTTAATTCTCAATATATTATTCACAATTCCCACAGTCAAATATCTAATTTTCAATTCACCTAAATGAATTTACTTCAAGTTTCTAATTCTTCGTTGCTTTTACTACACAGAAGATGAGAAATTCGAAATTACAATGAGACTAGAGTCTGATAGATCGATCAGTCAGTAAGCTGTACCAAAAGATACTTTATATACTGTATCCAAGACAAATATTCAATGAGTATGTGGATACTCAAAGATAAATCATGGTCCCATTAACTATCTATGTATTAACTGAGTGCATGCATAAATCATCTCAGCTAAGATAAGTTTGTGGCTGAGGTTTGCACACAAATCGAGAAAGATTTGCACTTAGTTTCAATTTTGCTTTGAGTGATTTAAGTATCAGATGAAACCACTTTAAGAACTATTATGCAATACAAAAAGTATATATGATATTCAATATGTGATTTCTTTTGTGATTTACTTTTCTCAGCAGATTCCTTTTATATATAATATATCTATAATATGCACATCAAGGAATGAAATCCATATTTCACTTCTAAAACACTTCTTAATGTATCTTAAATATAATTTACATACTGAATATGTTATTTCAAGATGTATCTATAAGTTACCTCAATCGAAAATTTTTAGTTTTTATAAATTTAATTGAACACCCACAGTGAAAAGTATCTGGGCAATTTAGCTCAACACACAGTGTTCCAAAAAGTATCTATTAGATACTTTAATTGAAAATTGAGATAATTAGCCAGCTCACACAAAACGGCTGGAAGCTTCTCTCACACACGTCTGCACTGTCACACAATGAATGGAAAACTAAATCCATTTTCTCTGATATAATCGCCATATTTGTTCCAAGACGCGGGGGACTGTAGATACATACATATACAATATATAGGTATATTTGTATACATATACACAGTTCTAATGTCTCTGTTTCAAAGTAGCTGCTGTGAAATATTTGTGGCAACATCAATTGGTAACTCAAAACTTGACGTTCGCCATAAAAATGCACTGATAAACGCGAAGGCTGGACGGCGGGTGGCTGGGGGCTGGAGGCGGGACTGTGGGGCGATGTATCCAGCTAACGATAGACACCAGATAAGCGATATGGGTATTTAGTTGAAAGCAACCAACCTGACATAATATAACGTTCGAATAACATGATACGCGTTTCACTTGTAGCTAACACAAATTACGATTGTAAACAATTTTCAGATTCAGATTCCGATTGCGATTCCGATTCCGATTCCGATTCAGATACATTTGGTGGGCCGGACGCGACGCGACATGACTACCAAGTGCGAGTTGAATGCGCGGCCCACGTTGCGTATGCGCTATATTACAGATATTTCCTTTGTACTCGAACGGTGTTTGCCGTTCTTCACTCAAATGTGTTTATGTTCGATTTGGTGTCGTCTCTATCTGCCGGTTGTCTTCGCAAGACTGAGTACCGAACGGATACGTGACGCTGGCAGCGCGACGATAGCGCAAAAGAAGAAGAAGAAACAAAACGCAGAGCTTCAACGAACGCCGGCGTCAGCGTTGACGGCAACGGCAGCGGCGACAACAACTGCGACTACGACTGCGACAGCGACAGCGACGTTTGAAAAATACTGTGATTTCGTTTGGCAGTGCGCGCACAGCGACCGAGACTAACTGACTAAGTGATGATGTTCAGTCGACTGCCGACTGCGGAGCACTGCAGTGGCAATGCCAACGGGGGGTGCACAGCAGAGGCGTCGCTTTGGTTGGTTGTTGCTGCCACTGTCGCAGTCGGCGTCGCTGCTGCTGTGGCTGCTGTTGCTGGTAATGGTGGTGGAAGAGGCCATAGGATGCCTCAGACGATGCAGATGATGATCGAGCGGCTGACTATCTGCCACCGCAGGGGTTGCAAAAGAGAGTGACATCAAAACTGAGAGAGAGAGAGAGGGAGAGAGAGAGAGGAGAGCGAGAGTGAGAGCGTAAAAGCAGCAGAGCTGTATCTATATCTGACTACCCTGCAGGCAGGCGCTCTCTGCTGCTTCTCTCTGTGTGTGTGCGGGTGTGTGTGTGTGCGTGTATGTGTGCTTGAATCTGTGTCAGTTTTATAAGCATCCACAACAACAACAACAACAACAACGTTTTGTTCTGATTGGAATTGAACAGAGCCGAGGCCCTGGCGTAGCTCCTGCTTCAGCTGCTGCCAGCTACTTGTTGTTGTCTGCTTGCCCGCAAAAGGATAAAAATACACACACACAAACACACGCACACGCACACGCTTCAATGTATGCGTGTATATATAACGCTCTTATTTACTCTGCACGGTTTTCCTATCAGAATGCAGCAGCACACCACTGTATGTATCTCACAGATACACGACAAAAACGTGAGCCGCATCATCAACAAAAACAACAACAAGAGCAGCCGCAGTCGCAGTCGCAGTCGCTGCCAGCCGCTGCCGTCGCAGCAGCAGCTGAGGGGAGGAGCCAAAGCAGGATAATAGGGCGTGCACATCTTCGCATTCATTATGCACACACACACACACACATATACACACACAGACACAAGCGCACTGAGACACCTACACAGCGGCAGACAGAGAGCCACAGATACACAGCTGCAGATACACAAACTGAGAGATACAAATACAGTTGGCTGCTGTGCGCCTGCTGTCTCGCTCGCACACACCTAACTTATTTGCGGTTTGCTGTGGGTGTGAGTGTGTGTGCGTATTGTGGCATGGCCAACCCCACTGCGCCCACACACACACACACACACACACACACCGGTAGCTGCCCCTGCTCCTCCTGCTCACAGCAGACCTTTTGCAGTCAGACACTGCCAAGTTTCTGGTTTGTGGCTGCCCACCTCCCCCCTTTCTCTTGGAGGTTGTTCGTGTGTGTGGGTGTGTGTGCTTGTGGGGGTTGGTTTTACTTGCTGCCACCTGCGTCTGTTCCTGTTCCAAAGCGTGCGCAATAAGCACACATTAGCCTAATGGCTGTGTGTGTGTGTGTGTGTGTGTGTGTGTGTGTATTGGCCACAAAAAAAATACTCACGGCAATAATTGAAAGCGACTGCGTTGCCTTTTGGCCAGGGGGCTTTTTCTGTTGCGCTTTTTGCTTTTTTTTTTTTTTGCCACTGCCTTTGCCTGTGTGGCGACCCCAACAAGCAAAAATTCTCGGTTTATGTGTGTGTGTGTGTGGATGTGGGTGTGTATGTGCGGTTAGGCTATGTACATATAAGCTGGATTCTTTTTTTTTTTTTTTTGCTCTTGGCCTTTGTTTGCAACTTAATTTAGTATCTGTCGTCGAAGTTTACGCCACGCACACACACACACATATATAGACCTAACAGGTTGTGCTGCGAATCGGTCATACAAACATACATATATGGAGGCTTTGTTATTCGTGAGTCGATTCGTTAGGCTGTTGCTAACAATTAACACGTACTTAAAGATATGCGCTTATTAAAGGTGTGAAAGTACATTTTTGCAGAGATTACATTATTTTGATTATATTAAAAAGGAAATAAAAAAATAAAAATATTAATAAACAGATAAAAAGCTTTCCAAATCTTAATGAAAATACAAAAAATACATACATAATACAAAAATGTATAAAAATAATACAAAAATGTAGAGTCCAAATATATTGTATTATAAATAAAATAATCAGCACAAACATTATTTAATAAAATAAGGAAGAAAACATTAAGAATAAATTTGTTTTCAATAATTTGAAATCTATTCTTAAAAATTTTTTTAACGTTTTGTAATAGAACAATTTCAACTTTCAAATGAATCAAATTTCAAAAGACGGATTTCAAAAGTTTTAATATTTCTCGATATTTATGTTAAAAAGAATAGATAAATAAGCTAGATTTACTGTTAGTTTTAAAAGTTTAAGAAAAATGGTTTGATTCTCATAAAAACTAAAATTCGAAATAAATATGTTATTAAAAATTTTCAAAAATATTTTCTAATATAAATATATGAGGTTCAAATCGCCTTTAATTGATTTCAAAGTGTATTTAAATATATAAATATTATAATTTATTATATTATTATTATCACTATATTTATTGTTATTATTCTATTTATATAAATATATTTATATTTATATTTATATTTATATTTATATTTATATTTATATTTATATTTATATTTATATTTATATTTATATTTATATTTATATTTATATTTATATTTATATTTATATTTATATTTATATTTATATTTATATTTATATTTATATTTATATTTATATTTATATTTATATTTATATTTATATTTATATTTATATTTATATTTATATTTATATTTATATTTATATTTATATTTATATTTATATTTATATTTATATTTATATTTATATTTATATTTATATTTATATTTATATTTATATTTATATTTATATTTATATTTATATTTATATTTATATTTATATTTATATTTATATTTATATTTATATTTATATTTATATTTATATTTATATTTATATTTATATTTATATTTATATTTATATTTATATTTATATTTATATTTATATTTATATTTATATTTATATTTATATTTATATTTATATTTATATTTATATTTATATTTATATTTATATTTATATTTATATTTATATTTATATTTATATTTATATTTATATTTATATTTATATTTATATTTATATTTATATTTATATTTATATTTATATTTTCAAATATGCTGAATTTAATTTTCAGTTGCACTAATACCAACTTTAATTTTCTGCATAGCTAATTAATAACTCCGTTGACCTCTCTAAGCTGCCCATATATGCATATATATATATATGTATGTCCATATATCAAGGCGTCATTAGTTTTCTGTTAAATACTTTATGTTGCTGTTGTTTGTTTCCTGTGGGAGGCGCTATCGGTCATTTTAATAGCTTTGCTGGGTTTTATGGGGGCGCCTAATGGCAAATATTAAAGCTCTGATGCTGTTTGCTGATTCCCTTTAGCACTTTCAGATCCCTGTTGTTGTTGTTGTTGGTAAACATTAGCACGCGCTGATAATTGTTATGGTGTTATCTTTTCTACTTCTTCTTTTTTTTTTTTTTTTTTTTTGCCTGCGCCCGCATAAATATATATATTTTTTTATTTTTATTTTCAATAGCTGATAAATTTATCTCAAAATTAATTTGAAAAGTACTTTAAAAAATGAAATCGCGTCGCCATAAATCAACACTCAACAGAAATAACATATCTTAAGGCATGATAATTTTGCAAGAGGAATACAGGTTCGCAATGCCAAAGGTCCTGGCATATATCAACCCTTTGTTGTTGGGGGTCGTAAATTTGTATATTTACTTGTTATTTATTTGCATGGGGCCCACTTTAGGGCGCTAACTGCACGAAATGTCATAAAATATGAATACAACAAAAGCTGTCAGGCCAATGCCCAACTCGGTGTCTCTATCTGTATCTGTATCTCATCTGTATCTGCAACTGTAGCTGTAGCTGTGTATCGGTGTCTATTTGCGCTTGTCAAACAGCAGCAGTCAATTAGGCGCACGTCGCAGTCGGCTAGGTCATTATCATCGGGGTGCACTGAGGGTTGCAAGGGTCGTCGCACCAAAAGTAAAGGAAAAAAAAAGAGGGCTCTGAGGTTCTAATAGCGTTAAATTAAAACAACATAATCAACAACATTGCGCCCTTGTCACATAATTTAACACACACTCACACACACGCTTTACTCACTCCACTCACTGTCGCCTGCCTCGTGAAGCGAACAGATAGAAAAGGATTGGGTCGGGTTTATCTGGCGTGTATTTGCATTTCGCTTTGGTTTGCCATAAAAGTCAATGGCTTTTCCATTCGAATCGTTGTTATCGCCCCGCTCGGATTGCTCTTACCCAGGAACAGACACAAACCCAGGCTAGTCACACATAATTCATGTGTAAACACGCCTCAAAACTCTATTCATATTGAACATTGCATTACGCAGATTTTCTAGAACACGCAATAAATTTGTTATGCATAGCAGAATAGATAAGCAGCAAAGGGCCAAATGTGTGAGAAGACAGAATTGAAAACATATTGAAAAATTTATCTGACAATGGAAATGAATATTAATGAAAATATATGACATATATTAAGATGTTATCATGTTATTAATATTTGTAAAGTTACACTTTGTACACAAATTTTTTTAAATTTTACAAATTATTTGCAGGAAAAAAATGATATTATGATATAAAAATGATATTAAATTAACTCTGCCTTATTTTGGTTATTTGTGGACATCAATAAATTTATAAAAATTGCTTTTCATTGGCAGATGCTCACAGAAAGCTTATGTCGACTGTACACGCATTGTCTATCTTTGCAAGTAATCAACTAGAATAGAAATATCAAATGTTTATAGCTTAGCCAGCAACAGTCGATAACAAAATTAGCTGATGATCTAACTGCGGCAAAATCTTGTTATGATTGTATATACTATCTGCTCACTTCCTTTGTACCTGATTAGTAATAATAAATGGCCCCAGGTGTGCTAAATCAGCAGAATCATGTTGATAGAAAGCTAAAAACATAGCAACAAAAAGCTTGTATATAAAGTATATAAAATATATAATATTCCCTAATTATAACAGATGGTAAATATTAAGTCATTTGCAATAAATAAAATCAATAATTGCATTTCTCTCTCTCTCCCTCTC